GAGCCTTAACAGCTGGACCACCAGAGAAGTCCCCCTGTTTCTTTCAGAATAAATTGTTCACCTTTTCAGGGTGGAAGGGGCCAAATACAGTCAACTTGCCATCCAAAGGCTGGTTGGTTTCCTTGAAAGATGTCATACTGGAAGCTTTGTGTTTGTCTCTGTTGCTGGCCATTCGGGCTCTTGGTGGCATCAGTAGCTAGAGCATACTTGGTAAGTAGGACTTCATACTGTTGTCTATGCATAGAGTATATCTCTGCCACATGACCACCTTCTTTCATGTGCTCATTTTTCTAGCACTGGGGAGGCCATGACAAAAGATGGCTGATGTAAACTGATTGAGTCATTGTCTACTTGGTTGTTTTGTGCTTTTTTCATGGTAGATGTTCTCTGATGACTGTTAACATGTGATATGAAGATCTTCAAATGTGTCTATTCTTGTATCCTCCCACGTGCCGCTACCTTAAGACCTCCTTCCCCTAATTTTCTTTTTTTTTTCCCCCTAATTTTCTAATCATTCTCCTTTTATGCCCCCTGACCAGCACATCAGGACATTTACCTGTGAGTCCACATATATATATATATATATATTTTTTTTTTTCCGGTACGCGGGCCTCTCACTGCCGTGGCCTCTCCCATTGTGGAGCACAGGCTCCGGACGCGCAGGCTCAGCGGCCATGGCTCACAGGCCCAGCCGCTCCGCGGCATGTGGGATCCTCCCAGACCGGGGCATGAACCTGCGTCCCCTGCATCGGCAGACGGACTCTCAACCACTGCGCCACCAGGGAAGCCCAGTCCACATATATTTTAACCTCAAACCAATTCTTTGTCTGCACAAAGTAGACAGTCTGCCTAAAGCTCTGCCCATTGGGCACTGTCCTTCAGTGCCACCCCCGAGTGAGGCTGTGGTGCAACCACTGTCCAGTTTTGACTTGGACCCAGTTACAGCCATCTGTGAAGAAGGTGAGGGTTTTTCCTTTGTCAGCTGGCTTTGAGGGCCCCCCAGTATGGCCAAAGGTATATGCTAATGAAGGGGCACTTTGCAACAATGGTAGATGATATGAGGGTTTGGGCTATCTGCTCATGCTCGTGACTTCTGGTCCTACTTGTGCTAGATACTGGATGTATCACCTTCATCTTAATGCTGAATTATTGCTGGGTCCACCCAACCCTATGACTTGGTATGTCTCATAGAACCTAGGTCATGGTGGGTGATTCTGGATAAATGGTCACTTGGTGTCACATCATCAGGTGTTCTATATCTGCTAGGACCCAATAGCATGCCAGGAGTTGTTTTGCAAAAGGCATACAATTTTCCACTGAAAATGGAATGCCTTGCTCCAGATCCCAGGGGTCTGCATAGTGATTCTCCCACTGGGGCTTGCCATAATACCATAGCATTTGCCAGATTGTTTGCCTCACCATCCAGACCTGTAGAGTCCTTTACTGTTCTGGAAACTGGTAACTTTTTGTGTCACCTGATATAAAAGCCAGAGCAGTATTCTTGGGTGTCATGCTTCCCTCTTAATGGTGGGAGGTGCAAGATGCAGTTGGTTACTTGGATGCCTTTACTTGAATGGCATGTTTTATCAAGGCCCTGACTACTGGGCCTATAAAAATTTTACTGATGAATGGGTGCCTGAATCTCTGTAGCATTTATCTTTCACCCTCTGGAGTCCATGTGTTCTGTCAAGGCCTTCAGTGTGCTATCCACCTCCTGTTCATCTGGCCCAATTAGCATGATGTTATTAATATAGTAGGTCAGTGTGATATTCTACAAGAAGTCTATATTATCATAGGACTATATTACATGAGACAGTGGCAAAATTGACATGGTCCTGTAAAAGTATGCTATAATCCATTCCATGTGAATGTGAATTGTTTCTGATCCTACTTTCTTGAAGGGATAAGAGAAAAAGAACTTATTCCTTCGATCTTTGACTGTATACTATATACTGTACTATACTGTATACTATATACTGTATGCTCCTGGAGCTATGTTAATTGGCTCTAGCAAAGATACCACATCTGGCATGGCAGCTGCAGTTGTGGCTACTATTAGATTGAGTTTGTGGTAATCTACCTTGCTCCAGGATTTATCTGGTTTCTGCCGGGACCACACTGGTAAATCCTGCATCCTCTGGGGGTGTAGCACTAATTTCTGCCATCTCCCCTCCCTTGCCCACAGAATACAATATTGTTTTCTTTTGTGTTTATTATCTTGGAAGGTGGGATGGGGCACCCACCTTTAGAGGCTTCCTTCCACTTGGCCTTCCCCAGTATAACTCCTATCCCATAGGCCAAGGACTCACTAACTTCCAGGTATGTCTATTTCAATTATACATTCAGGGTCCAGGGAAGTGACCACCAGGATGGTTCACACACCCAGTGGGCCCATCGTGATCTGGATCTTGGCTAGGGCTCAGTTTATTTCCTGGTCCTCATAAGTCCATGATTATACTTCCAGACTCCAGGTGTCAATGTCAACCTGTCCTTAAAATGTTAGCATTCCCGTTTACGCAGTTTACAGTTACCTGAGTAAATGACCGTAGACAGAGCTGACTACATAATTTGCATGCTGAATACACCTGGATTGAGAGTGGGCGAGAGAAATTGCCCACCAAAAGTACGTGGCACTCCTAGCCCAGGCAGGGAAAGGATGGCCAGGTGGGACCAGAGGGAGTGGCCAAGAGGCCGCTCCTGGGAAGACAGGAAGAGGTGGACTGTGTGTGAGCTGAGGCTTCAAGCCCCCAGCACATGCTTCATTTTCCCCCTCAGATTTCACTTATGGAGCAGAAATTCATAGATAAAATTATTAAGAATTTTAAGACAGTGACTGCAGAGCATTAAACTTCAAGTGCAGGGACCTTCTGAGTATGGAGTCCATAAGACCTATAGTATATGGGTCTCTTAGGCCATAGGTTTCTCAGGGAATTGTTATACTTGCTTTGGTGTTGCAGGTTCTTTTCTCTTGGGTACCTGGCCTCCTTCAGTCAAAGGGGTCAGGATCTGAAACTGGCTCAGGTTCAGACACTGGGCATGGATTCTGATATTTTTTTATTGAGGGGACTGACCTCAGCATCCAGATCTTCCATCCCTGATTTCTTTTGATGTTACAGATAGAGAAGTGCTCTTATTAGCTGCTTGTCTATTTTGCTTCATAAATACACCATGCTTTATTAACTATCTTTACAAATCTGTGAGTCGGATTCCTTTGCCACTCTGACTTTGCTGATCTTTATAGTAAGTGTCTCCATCTGGCTTCAATCATCAAGTACCATGGCCTGGTCTCCTTTGTTTTAGGGTCCTATCATCACCGTTGGGTTATAATTCCTTTGTGACCTTATCAGGCACAAAATATCTGGGCTGGGTTATGCCCTGACCTACTACAAGTTAGGAGGCATGGAGGTGGCAGATCCTGAGGGGACATTGTTTACTGAGCAGGGTGGGGAGGCCTCTGCATTATCTTCAAGTGCAGGAAGAGTGCTAGCTCTTACAGAGATGGTGGGCCACTTTCGCAGTTTCAAGGGCACTATCACATTCAAGATATTGGAGGGGCATCAGCTCAGTTGTCTCCATCTCATGTATTAGGGTCTCATTCTTTCCCAGTCAGGGACCTGACATGGCGTAGCATATCTCCCTTGGCTGAGAGTTGACCTTCCTTGGTGCTTGGCTACTCTGTTGATTAACTCTTGGGCCTGGTCTCCAGCTTTTTCTCTCCTCCTGCTGCCACAGAAAAGAGCCTCTTTATAAATTACCAGGAGGCCCTGGGGTGTTCATATTTGACTTTCTTTTTTTAAATTACTTATTGATGCTTACTTACTTATTTAGGCTGCGCCACACGGCTTGTGGGATTTTAGTTCCCAACCAGGGATTGAACCCTGGCCCTTGCCAGTGAAAGCATGGAGTCCTGACCGCTGGACTGCCAGGGAATTCCCCATATTTGACTTTCAGTTGACTGTTAATCACTCCTAGCTTTTTGTTATCTTCTTCTAGAGCATCAGTTAAGTTTAGTAATAGCCGTTCAATTCCATTGTCATTATAGTTATTTCCCCCTTACTCTTCAAGTGCCTCATCAGTCCAATCAACTAGATCATTCTGTCCATAGATAGATCATCATTATTCACCACTAGTGAAAGTTTAAGAATTGTACCAGCACCTTGTGCCAGGGATTATCTGGTTACCTACCACCACCACTGGGGTCCTCAGTGCCATCTAGTCTGTGAGCAATTCAACTCCAAAACCCCTTCACAGTCCTAATTTTCTCAGATCACTGCCAGCCCCAACTGTTGGTAGGTTATATTCTCTGAAAAGCAGACTCTGAATTGGAGTTTAGTTATTCAAATTGTTAACTAAGGAGTGCCCTTGGGATCAAAACTATGAAAGAGATAAAAAAACAAGATTGGGCAGATTCGATCCTTGTTTTGATTAAGGGTGAGGGAGGTTGAATATCTATACTTATTCAACTTTTTTCAAAATTTTTTTGTTTTATTTTAATACTTGAGCATTCTTAACTTACTGAACTACTTTCTACTTTCCTCAGGCAAAACCAATTCCTTCATTCTATGATATCCTCATATGCTTTCCCAGATGTTTATGTGAGTTTTGTGAGTTTTGTTTGTTTGGGGTTTTTTTGCATAAAAATTTGGCTTTTTGCTGTTCTCTCTCCTTCCCTCCCTTCTTCCCTCTCCCCTTCCCCACCTCTCCCTTTTTCCCTTTGTCCCCCCTCCCTAAAAAATAAAAAAAAATTTTTTTAACTTGCTTTTTTCCTTACACTCCAGTAAATTCAAGATGGAGATTGGAAAAGGAACTTATATCTGTACCTCAACCCCCTTAAAATAAATCCCAGTTGACAATGTTCTCACTTAATAAGTTGTACATTTCTATAATGTTCTAGTTTTAAACTATAATCAGTGTTACTGAATTGGGTTTATTTTTTAAGAAATATAAAAGGTGATGGATTTTATGTTTTAAGTATATCATTTACTTTTTTCTCTTTTTAGAAACTATATACCACCTCCCTAAACTGGTTAATAGTGGCATGGAAGATCCATTTGGTGAGTATCACCTACATTTCTCTTAGTAAATGATATTTGTGTTTTGTCCTTACCTCCATTAAAGCTTTGAGAATAAATTGATTTTTTTCATGTTTAGTGTGCTAAGCTCTCTAGTTTATCAGTTCTCAAACTTTTTGGCCTCAGGATCCCTTTATACTCTGAAGTATAATTGAGGGCCCCAAAGAGCTTTGTTTGTATGATTTATATCTATTGATATTTACTATATTACAAATTAAAATAGACATTTAAAAATATTAATTCATTTCAAAATAACATTAATAAACCCATTATATGTTACATAAATAAAATTTTTTAATGAAAAATAACTCCCCAAATAAAGAGTAACAAGAAGAGTGACATTGTTTTACATTTTGCAAATCTCTTTAATGTCTGGTTTAATAGAAGACACCTGGATTCATATATCTGCTTCTGCATTTAATCTGTTTTGTTATCACATACCCTGTAGACTCTGGAGAATTGACTGATTGGAGCTAATGAGAGTGAAAAGGCAAATAACACTTTTGTAATATAAAAAGTAATTCTGACATTGCTATGAGTCATCTCTAGTAGTTCCTGGACCACACTTTGAGACCTAATGCTCTAGAATGTTAGTTACTTCAAATACAGCAAAGAACTAGTTGGCAAGTTAAAATAATAAGTTTTAAATTCTGTAACAACATGGTTAAGGGAGTATAAATCTAGATACACAAAGGTTTTGTATCTACCTTTTTGACTAAAAAGTCAGTCACTGAGTATTGAACTCTGTTTTCCTATTGACTGCAATTTCAAAGAGAGATACGGTCTGAAATAGTTAGTAGGCCATTTTGAACACTTGTGCCTTGGGGTGTTTATTGAAGCTTTTTGAAAACTATTGATGTTTCTTTAGTATCCGTAGAGTTATATCCGTGCTTTAAAAAGTTTCTCTGTAGGAGAGAAATGGTATTTCTACCATGTTTTAAAATTCTCTAAGATGAGACATCTTAGCTGCTTTCCAGGCTTTTATTTTATATTTTATCATTGTGTTCTGAATCCACAGCATTTTATTTATTTATTTATTTATTTATTTATTTATTTATTTTTGGCTGCGTTGGGTCTTCATTGCTGTGCACAGGCTTTCTCTGGTTGCAGCGAGTGGGGGCTAGTTGCAGTGCATAGGCTTCTCATTGCGGTGGCTTCTCTTGTTGCGGAGCACAGGCTCTAGGCACGCGGGCTTCAGTAGTCATGGTGCACGGGCTTAGTTGCTCCGCGGCATGTGGGATCTTCCCAGGCCAGGGATTGAACCCGTGTCCCCTGCATTGGCAGGCGGATTCCTAACCACTGCGCCACCAGGAAAGTCCCCAGGCTTTTAAACTATTAAGCTACTCACCTTGCCTACATGTTATTGGAAATACTTTTAAAAATTTGTCATGTGGTCATCTAGAAAGCCGTTTGGGGGAAAACTTCACAATTCCAGTGTCATTGCCGAACAGCTTCATTAGAATTGTTGAACCACAGCTGAAACAAGCCTTCTATTATTTTTTAGTCCCCCCCAATACCATTTAGAATTTTAAAAGTAAAGGTGGTGTGTAAAAACTTAAGAAGGAGCCTTTCCATTATCTTAAGTTGCAGGAAACTTTGTAGTTTTTTAGGTTTAACACGTTGTATATCCTTAAATTTACATTAATCACTATGCTAATGAGTATGTAAAACATTCTTGTACATTGATGCATATTGTACCTCCCACAATTAAAAGCGTAACAGCCAAAAAAAAAAAAAAACCCACATATTATACACTTGGAAGACTAGTTAGGACGTACTTCCCACTTTATATGCATCAGCAAAAAAAAAGCAACCAGAGAAAGTTTTCCTTGTTTAACCTCATTATGCTAGAGGCAGGTTTTGTTTTTGTTTTGATAGGTACTTTTATTTTGTTTATTTATTATTATTATTATTTTTGGCTGCGTTGGGTCTTCGTTGCTGCGCGTGGGCTTTCTCTAGTTGTGGTGAGCAGGGGGGCTACTCTTTGTTGCAGTGTGCTGGGCTTCTCATTGTGGTGGCTTCTCTTGTGGAGCAAGGGCTCCAGGCACGCAGGCTTCAGTAGTTGTGGTGCATGGGCTTAGTTGCTCCGCGGCATGTGGGATCTTCCCGGACCAGGGATCAAAGTTGTGTCCCCTGCATTGGCAGGTGGATTCTTGACCACTGCGCCACCATGGAAGTCCCAAGAGGCAGGGTTTTTTTTGTGTGTGTGTGGTACTCAGGCCTCTCACTGTTGTGGCCTCTCCCGTTGCGGAGCACAGGCTCCGGATGCGCAGGCTCAGCGGTCATGGCTCACGGGCCGAGCCGCTCCGCGGCATGTGGGGTCTTCCCAGACCGGGGCACGAACCCGTGTTCCCTGTATCGGCAGGCGGACTCTCAACCACCCCGCCACCAGGGAAGCCCGAGAGGCAGGTTTTGATTCGAGCATTTTGTGCTTCTTCACCAAATGGGGAAAAGTCTGAATCTCATTTTATGGCAGTGTAACTTGAAGTAGTAGTGTAAAAAAGGTTCCAGGTTTATATTCTACTCACGCACAGTTACTGTAGGTGACTGAAATTAGGCTCTTTGGGCACCTGGTACAAGTAAGTAATCAGATAGCTCAGATTAATAGCTTGTTGTCTTGCTTTGAAAAGACTGTTGTTGAAAACCTTGCCAGATCAGAATTTCTCCCCTGATTTTAATGACCCTAAATGGCTTCGTTAGGAGTTTGGCTTTTTTCACCCTGTAGTGTACACTGCATCTAGCTCATTAGTGAAATCCTTATTTTGAACACTAGAGGGCAGTCAGTACTTTATTCATAAAATTGCAGTTTCTTTACACATTAATTCTTAAGGGCGTTATTTATGAACAATTTGGTGAATCGAGTTGATATAGTTGCCTGGTGACAAATCCTAAAGAACATGTTCGTATGATAAACTAGCGTAACGTACAACAACTCCAAACCAAAGGCTTTTATGGGAAACATTTTTTTTTCTGCTGAGTGACCTCCTTACCTCACCTAACTTAAACATAACTTAAATGGAATTTAATCTAATTAATTAAACTTATTATTAAGCTAATTAAATTCAACTTAAAATTAAATATAATTTAAATTTACTAGAGAATACCAAAGGGAAAGTTGCTATGGAAGTTATAGTTGACTAGTAGTCAGTTGAAATATAAATTAACATGTGCTTTTGATCACTAATATGAGAAAAGGTTTGTCTTCTGTGCTAGTGAGAGGATTTTTTCCTCTTATACTTTTATTTATTTATTATTTTTGGCTGCATTGGGTCTTTGTTGCTGTGCGCGGGCTTTCTCTAGTTGCTGTGAGCGGGGGCTGCTCTTTGTTGCGGTACGCAGGCTTCTCATTGCGGTGGCTTCTCCTGTTGCGGAGCACGGGCTCTAGGCGCACAGGCTTCAGTAGTTGCAGCACGGCGGTCTCAGTAGTTGTGGCTCTTGGGCTCTAGAGCGCAGGCTCAGTAGTTGTGGTGCACAGGCTTAGTTGCTCTGCGGCATGTGGGATCTTCCCAGGCCAGGGCTCGAACCCGTGTCCTCTGCACTGGCAGGCGGATTCTTAACCACTGCGCCACCAGGGAAGCCCTTATACTTTATTTTTATTTTTTTAATTTAATTTGGTTATATTCCCTGTGTTGTACAATATATCCTTGTAGCTTATTTTATGTATAATAGTTTGTAGGGTTTTTTTTTAATTGCTCACAAAACATACATATGATAAGAATCTGGTTTATTGAGTTATGGTCCACTCAGTGCCATTTGAAAAGGAAAAGAATTCTGAATGTAAAATGAATTTGTTTCTAAGAAGATGGAGCCTCTGGAAGATGGTTGAGAATTTTGTTACAGTTAGGTTAACTAACAGTTATGTAGATACATTGAAAAAGAATTACTTGTTGCATTCTGCAAATTAAAGTGAGAGATTTTTACCCATCACATTCTAGTGGGACAGACCTAAGGCCTCTAGGACCTTTCTTACATGGACAGATGTTTACACATTTTATTATATAATATTCTAAAATCACATTTGTTAATGCCACCACTGATCTCACCAGAAAAGTCTTTAAATATTGGGAAGTTGGCAGGCTCACTCTAGTGGATATGTTTTCCAAAATTAGAATTTTCTCTTGAAAGCTTGACATATATCACTGGCAACAAGTACTGTCAGTTTTATTTGTAGTGACAGGCTCCATTCATTTTTGAGAAAATATCTGTGAAATATCTAAGCTTGAACAAAATAGTTTATCATTCAGTCTTTCCAGTAAAAGCGGTATTTCATGAAACAAGCTGGCCAGTTCAGCTTGCAACTCAATTACACAGGTGCCTTTCCTGAAGGTAACCATTGTACTTACCATTTCATCATGCAAAATAGTAAAAAGACAATATAGGGCTTGAGATTCATTAAAACTAATAATAGTTTTCATGGCTTTATCAAGGATATTCTTAAATTGGCATTATTTTTAACTGTAATTGTGTAGTGGTGAAGATTATGCGTCCTACTACAGTTTGGTGTTACTGCCTTGATATGTGTGAAGGTGCCAGCAGTTTTGCTCACCATTGCTTTTGTACCCTTAGTACCAGTGTCAACATGGTGAAAAAGGCAACTAATTCTTTAGTATTATTAAGTATATCATTGTACCTCTTGGATCCTGAAAGGATCTTGGGGATACCCAGACATCAGTGGACCATACCTGCTTCAGTTTCCTAATTTTCAGAGTCTCTTCTGTGGAAGTCATGGACAGAGTCAAGACTTAGTTCTGGAAATTGTTTTGGGCAGGGCTTCAATCTTGGACACTTGGCAGAAGTATGGTCAGGGAGAGCGAGCTGCTCTGTGGTCTCTCCTAAGTTGATCATGACCTACCTGAAGCTTTTAGGAATAAGTTAAAGAACACTTCTGTGGGTGAAATGAGTGTTCTGAGCTCATTAGGCAGCTCAGTATTTTGAGAAAAAATTCACCAGCATTTAGTCAAGATGAGCTCACCTGGGCACTA